ACACCTGATTTGACATTATAACTTGACACACTAGAAAACTTGAACTCATCGTGTTGAGGAGCTTGGAGCTAGCATGGTGGGCAACCCGACCATCTTCAACAGGAAAACCTGTCTTCCCCAGTTGCTTGCTTATGCAACGTAAATCATCACCTTATCGTTAGGCCTTTGTATAGCCCTGCTATATAATATAAGCCCTAACTCGCCTTAGGATTCTGAGGTTGTCGTTTGTCACGACCTAAATACTCACATCTTCCAGGCTATTTGTGTGATAGTTTCACACGAATGTAAGCCCTAACTAATAAAATTGGTAGGATGAAACACCTAAATATTTATCTTTAGAAATGAAGCCACACATTAGGATAGCTTATAGAAGTCACCGAGGTTCTCCTCTAGATCAAAATATTTCAACTTTGAACCAATCCTTTTTCACACCTCTACGTTCGATCTCATTGAAGAGTCCTACCCTTTGAAATTTCTTAAAGATAGTATTTCCTGATTTTTATCGAGAGTCTTCTGAGATGACTTTGGTCATTTAAGATGTAATTAACTATAGGGGCTTGCCCTTATAGGAAGCATGCCCGAACCCAACTTAATATAAACCCTATTTAATTCTTTATATTAAATAGGGGATCTTGTCAGCAAATATAAATGTTTCGAAGACCAAACGGATGTCATATATTCCTTAGTTTATTTGATCGAGCCTCATCCTCAAGTCTTGTGTTTATCCTTCGGGATAGATACAGGGTTTGAGGTACAACGTTCTTTCATTTAAACTATTAAAAAAATGGTGTCATTTTGATTTCATATATTTCTAAAACTAAATATATATGTAAATTAAAACTTCCTTCCGAAGCTGGACGAGATTTCGATTCCGGTGACCGACAGCTTCTTACGGGCAACTCCAACAAAAAAAAATAGCACCGACAACACGTTCGTTCCTCCTTATAACTTGCTTAATTACACCTTATCATATTCTTATGCTATGTTTCTGGTACTAACCCTTTTGCAACAGGATTGGAGGTAGCAGGTACATGTTACAACTTTTCTTTTTCTGTACTTTTACTATACTTTGCTTTACCGTATGTTTCATTTATGCATAATTTATTAAACTTACAAAGACTCCTAGGGTAGACAACAATAGGACATACGTTTAGGATGGACGCTACAACAAGCCCAAGTACTCAATAATAATTACATGCTCACATTCAAACCCTAAACCTGGATCCATCACGGTAAGGAGCTCAGAGCAAACCGCAAATGGATGGAGGGAAATTTTAGATAACAATTAGACTCAAACGAAGTGGATCTACTTCAACAAAGCTTTTCTTAGACTTAGATAATATAAACTGTTAGGATTTCAAGGTTGTTCGTCTAATATGAGGTAAGTCCTCACACTATCCTTAGGCTCTTGCACAATCCTGTTGTGCAGTATAAGTCATATTCTATTTAGGATTCTAAGGTTATCCATTCGATACGACTTAAATCCTCCTAATTTTTTAGGTATTTGTATGAACAGATGTTGTGCAAGTGTAAAACCTAAATTTTAAATAATTGGCAAAAGTAAAAATTGAATAACTTCATTTCCAAGATGTAAAGCCAAATAATATGAAATGAAAATCTTATTTAATAGTGCGAAAATTTTAATTTTTCATTTCAAAACATCAACTTATAACAACAAAAAAATGGATTTTAACTAGTTCCATAATTTCATGTCCTTAGGTTGTTGTATTGTCGAAAAGAAACACCATTGTAGACATTTAGAAGAATGTATTACTACGAGAAATCCACGCTTTGCTATGTACATGTCAAAACATAGTTATAACTCGTTGATTTGTCACCCCAAAGAATAATCTAACCTTAATTTAATCTATCTTCAAATATTAAATAATTTAATATGTCGTCAAATCCATAAGTAAACTAAATATATATATATATATATATATAATGAAGTACTAACACCATGTATCATCCTTGGAAGTACAAGCTTACATTTTCTTCTAGATCTATTGTTAAAAAAAGTAAAAAAAGATGAATGGTTAATTTTTAGATTAATTATTAATTATTATTGCATGCAAAAATATGAGGTCAATTTTTTATGCTTACTATTTTTTTAACAAATTGATGAAATACTTGGTTCAATGATATTTTAAAAATTATTCTTACCCTCAAATTAACTTTAGACAAAAAACTGCACTCAATATTGTTAATTCCTTAAAATTTGGAAGAGAAACCTTTTTGAATTGACAAACACTCTTGAAACCTTCCAAAGCATATAATGAATAATAATCTTTGAAATTATTGTTGTCATCTTATTTAAAAATCCTTTGATGATATTCATTGTTATAGAAAATTTTATATTAAAAAAATGTGCAGTCTTCCTTTTGTTTAAATTTATTTTGGGACAAATAAGTTTTTCTTAGACCATTTGAGAATATGTTTATTCAAATGCTTAAAAAATACTTGGGGCACATGTTTCAGTAAACTAATAACACCCAATTCAACTATGTTTGAAACACTTCATTCATGTAAAATAGCAAGAACACATGTAAACTTGAAGATTTTCAAGTTAATCATTGGTTACCTAAATATCTATGCATTACATGTCATAGTAACAACTTTAATAACTTTTTTGGTAAAATTAATTTTCCACATATTTGTGAAGCCATCAACATTTAATAAATTAAATAAAGCTATAAGAACATCATTCATTCTAGGTTTACACGATTTTTCATTTACACTTTTAATCAAAATAGATGCATCAGCTACTATAGTTAATATAATCCTTTTATAATAAATTTGTTTAGATCAAAATTCAATAAAAAACTCTAATTAATTATCCAAAATGTATCTTATGCACATGAAACACATATTATTAGTAATTGGAGAGTCGATAGTGACAGTATTTGTTATAAAATTTACATACACACATACAAAAGTACTAAAATTTTTGAGGTTAGCTGACAAAATTTTGAAGATCAAAATGAGACCACTTCCTTTTGTAGTTGAATTTATTTATTATATCATTATGTATATTTTAGTTGCATCTAACATTGTAACGTCTGCTTTATAATGAAAGCCAAAACGTGGCTTGAAAGAAACTTTAGTAATAACATTAATACTAATGCAAATATAATGTTGTTTATTAGCTTGCATAAAGAAAATGCAAGAAAAAAATTAGAAGAATTGTCAGCAAAAGCTCAATACCAATCAAAGCCAACAGTTGGAATATGATATTGAAGAAAACTGGATCAGTTAAATTCTTACTTATCTCATTTTGCATTGCGAAGTTTTATTAATGTGATTATTTTATTTCTAACATTTAATTAGTGAATTTTTTCTTATTTCCCAACGGCCTCTTCACTTCAGTAAATTTTTAATATGTTTTTCACTTTTAAAGTGAAAATGGTGTTTTTTTATGTGATAAAGAAAGACATGGGTAAAAAAAATGTAAAAAAAATAAAATTTTTAATGTTAGATATGTAAATACATAAGAATCGGGTGATATGTATGTACATTTTTGTAATTTCTATTAACACTGTATGTGGATCCCGTAGTAAAAATTGTTTAATTCATCACAGACAAAACAACAGAGCAACGCCAGAACATCTGCAAATTAAAGTCGAGTCCCATTTTTAGGAATAAATGATGTGGTTTATTCAGGAAGTTGTAATATTAGATTATGATAGGTACAACTTCGTGAAACAATAAAGATGTTTCTGAATGTATAAAAAACCGTACTCTGTGACATGAATCGAACTGTGAAATTACAATCTTCTAAGCGACCTAACTAAGCTCACCCTCCTGGAAGCCTTTAAGGAATTGTTTTTTGATAGAGAGGAAAGTGGGTGAGAGAAGTGTGGGTCAGCCCAATTTCATTGAGTAATAATGCAAGGCTTGGTCGGTTAAGTGTCACTGTTCTCCCTTTTCTCTACTAATAAAACCACATCTCCTCTTCTCCCAAACCCCGTGCACTCTCCCCCTCTCTCTCCATCTCTCCTTATCACTTTCTCTCTCTCTCCACGAAAAGCTCCCACCCTCCCACTGAATTCCCTCAAACATAATCTCTCATCCCTAATAAGGAACAAACAGTTCACTAAAAAACCACACTTTTAGCATTCCATCCCTCCTTCCTCACTCCCGAGGGAGTAAAATTGGAACCTTTTCACGTTTTCTCATAAATGGCCTCTCTTCAGCCACTCTGAACGTGCTCCCTTTCAATAAAACCACCGCCTTGTTTGCTTCTCTTGGTCCACATGGCGGATCGATATTCTGAGCAGGAGAGCAGTGGCAGCAATTCTTCGTCCCCCCATTCTTCTTCCTCGCCATCTGACTTCGCCGCCGGTTGCGGCGGCAAGCGATCGCGTGAGGGAAGCAAGCATCCGTTATACAGAGGAGTTCGAATGCGTAACTGGGGAAAGTGGGTTTCTGAGATCAGGGAACCCAGGAAAAAATCGCGCATTTGGCTCGGAACATTCTCCACGCCGGAGATGGCAGCGCGGGCTCACGATGTGGCTGCACTGAGCATCAAGGGCAGCTCTGCAATTCTCAATTTTCCCGAGCTCGCTGCTTCACTTCCAAAGCCGGCGACGTTATCTCCGCGAGACGTGCAGGCTGCAGCGGCAAAGGCGGCAGCATTGGAGCCGGCAGCACTGGTAGTTGCCGAGACGCCATCGACGGAGGAATTGGGGGACATAGTGGAGCTACCAAGGTTAGGGGGTAGTCTCCTGGATACCTCCGGCCGGGAGGTTGTTTATGATGAAGTGGTGGATTCATGGCCATATTCTTGGGCAGAAAAAACAGAAGACTTTGCTCTGTTTTCTTGCTCTATCTCGCCAATTAGTAACTTCGACGCACTGTTTTGGGATTACTGAACTACACCCACTCCTCTTACTCCTATCTACTTCATCTTACACATTTATTTCCTAGCTCTCCTCTTAATTTGTTAGCCCTTTTTCTCCTACCATCTCTACCTCTTTTGTGAAGTTTATGTTACTCCTACTGGTACTTGTTTTTTGTTTTTTTCAAATAATTTCAGCGTGAGAAGCTAGAAAGCAGCAAATTTCTATAGATTATAAATTAGGAGGCCGAGAATCTGTGATATAAAATGATGGTTTTTTTCCTCGGTTTTATTGTGCTATGGGATGAACCATTCAAGTGTAAAAGGAAAATTACAATTTGGCATCAATGTATTATTATTTTTACCTTCATTCTCAAAATCTAGTTGAATTTGTTGTTAAATGTTGAGGGTTGTGAACATAAATTTGTTATTCAAAATAAAAAAAATTAATTATTGGCTCAAGAAAAATTCAACGGAATATTAATAAGCCAAAATATGTTTTTAATTTAGTTTTAATTTACTGAAATTTAGATCTCATGGTTCTCATATTTGAAAAATTGATATGTTGAATAAACGGAAGGAACAAATTTCAATTTAATTGAAATCCAGATATTGCTCTATTTGAAAAATTGATATGTTGAGTAAACGGAAGGAACAAATTTCAATTTAATTAAAATCCAGATATTGCTTTCCTTCCCCCCTCTCCCTCTCTCTCTCTCTCTCTCTCTCTCTCTCTCTCTTTCTCTCACGCGCGCGCACACACACGCACACATAATATTTATGGTCTATTGCAAAATTGAAGACAATGGTAAAGAGAGCTTGTCATCATAATTTTGCTCTAAATTTAATCTGACAAATGTGTAACTTTTGACTTGAGGAACATGATCTTTTAACTGAAGGCTCTTAAAATTGATGAACCATGGCACCAAACCTACGGAAATGAATTTCACGGGCAATTGAATTTTTCAATGTCAAACCTTATGTATTCATAGCGGCTACCTCTTATAGTTTATAGTGTCATATCAGATTAATTGCCCAGTTTTGAGTTTTAACAAGGAGTTGAACTGATCCAAAATTGCAAAAATTAAACCTAGCCTATTTATGATAAAGACACAAATATTTGACCCAAATGTGAATCAACACAACACTGGTTAACCAAAATTGAAATCATTTGACCAAACTTTTACATGGTTCATACAATGTAGCTTTTATTATCAGAACTATTTTGTTACAAAACAATTAGTTTTTACCACAATAATCTATAAGGTGAAAGGGAATTTTTTATTGATTAAAGAATGGATGCAAATCAATCCCGGAAGTTATAATGCTAATTTCGACTTGAATTTGAGTATCTGGGTTAATCAAAACCGATTTGAATATTAAACATGTCAACGCTATAGACTCAAACCCAACTTTCATTTTATGTGGATCAACTTGAACCTAATATTTTGAGTTGAGTCAATGTCATGTGATTTACCAACACCTCTAAGAAAAGTGATCGTTGAGAGCGTTGAATGATGAATGTGTTTTACATAAAAAATGCTAAATGACATCATACTTTTGGTTTCATGATGGATTATGGTTCCAAGTACAAGAATGATTGAATAAGCATGTTAGTGTTCAAGTGTCATAGTATATTACCAGATGACAAATGTTGAATTTTAGTCCTAACCAACTCAATTATGTAGGCAAATAAATGTTGATGTTCATTGAGAGTTAGTTGATGGCTATTATTTGAATTTGGGTGTGGATTATTATCAGCCTATGTCACATAGATGTGATGAAATATTGATAACATTTGTTGTCATTAGATGGTGGGTGATGGTAGTCACCAATATAATTTAGTTATAATGTTTATTGATAATGACATTGGAAGCTAGTTTTTTGTAGGTGATTACCTGTTGACCTCACATTTGTTAGGACTCACCCCACCAATTTGCACATGACGGTAGACCAGGGTTGTGTTTTCTTGGGCCTTACATGTGCAAGCCCAAGTCTCCAACCCTTGGTTGAGTGGCCTTATGGTTTTGACCTAGTAAGGAACTAAAATTGACCACCATGGGCTAGACATGTCGCTGGTTACCAAAATTAACCCAAAACCCTAGGGATTTATCTATGGACCCTAGAAACCACTTTGACCATGAAATCCACCTAGAGAGAGGGGTATACCTAATTTGATCCCTAGCCTCAAATATGGCCTCTTTAACCTTAGCAAACACTAAAAATCACCCTAAATCCTAATGTGCCCTTTTGACCCCAAAATTTGATGGCACCTTTGGATGGTCAAAACTGATTGGGCCTACTCCAATTTTGACTAAATTTGGACTAATTGACCACATCCCCATCGAATTAAGCCTCACCCAACATGGTCATGATGCCACACCATGTAGGGGACCTAATTTTCAACATGGGATAAACCCCCATAATTCACTTAATTAATTAGTTAGGTGGATTTTTAAATTCCATTAGGGTTTAGGCTAAGGGGAACAACCCAACACATTTAGCCCAAATTTAAGACCCTAAGAGAAGACTAAACCCAAGCCCATGGCCCATGGTCCATTCCTAATGGGTCACTCATGAGCCAATACCAACTTGTCATGACACATGGGTGACACACCAAGCTAAACGAAGCTATATCCAACCCTTAATTGGTGGCATCACATCATTCACCATGACTCATCCATGAGAGAGACACATGTCACCGAGCCCAAGCCTTCTTGGACCAATCTTTGATGGGTCAAGCCAGATCATATTTGATCAACATTATCCACCTACAAAGCCTACAATAAGCTTAGAGTTCCCTCCCATTCCTCTCTCGTTTCCATTCTCATCATCAAGGTCAAGCAATCATGAAAACTTGTAAAGTTTCCCTCCATTTCTTTAAATCCTCTAAACTCCTTTGAAAACTCATAAGGAGCCGCCCAATCTTTTCTAATCAACTCAGAGCTCGCCCATGGCCTCTCATGGCTACTTAAGGAAGGAGTCTAAGAGCCTTGAAACACCATGAAATTCTCTATCTTGCCACTTAAAGCTCTGCCTCTCAATAGAGAAAATATCTCTCTTCACCTAGGAAATCAATCTGCTATGTCCTAAGACTGCCACCACCACTAGTAAACCCTAATTTCTCTACCCTAATTTAGGACAATTTTTGGACTTGACATAAATCCTTTCAAAACTCAAATTTAACATCCTAGAAGCTTCCCCGAGCCTTAAGACAATCTCTCCAATCAAAATTATTGCTTCTTGAGCTCTCCAACCTATTTCAACACCAACCCAAGCCTTCATTTGGTTTCTCTTATAGCTAGGACCAAGTTCAACTCAAAGTGAATCAAGGAGGAGGTTCGTGAAATCAAGGTGAAGCTCTCTTTCAAGCCCAATTAAGGATTGACTTCTTGGGACAAGGTATGGCCCCCAAAAATTAGACTCAGGATTGATCTTTTTTGATGGAGATGAATAATCTTTGCTTATTGAACCATATGTTCGTCTAGGTTAGATGAATTTATAGGAAGAAATACAAGTGATTTGGTTAAGAATTGAGAGAGATCTTAGGGTTTGATCATGGGCGGCTCAGCTCTTCGTCTCTTGGAGATGATGAATCAATGTTGTTTATTTCTATATATTAGAAATGGATGATATAGATCGAGTCAAACCACCTAACCATGGGGAAGGGGAACAACGAATCACAAGCCACCTCAACACCCATATGGAAGGCGCATCCAACCAGTGGAAGACGCGTGGACTTTCTGAGGATACAAGGGATGATGTGACGCCTTTTCAATAAATAGAAAAATTCAATATTTTGAACTAAATAAATCCAAAAAATAAAAAAAGTTTTTCAAAATTCATAACTTGATGTATAAAAATCACAAAAAATAAAAATAAAGAAACCCTTGAAGTTAGTGAATAGAGGACAAAATAATAAAATTAGATTTAATTTTTAATTAATTAAAAACTCCAATGAATATTTTAATTATTAATAGTTACTTTTAAGGAGAAAAATCTAAAATTTGTAGGGTAACTTCCCTCTAATCCTTGGAACATCCTCTAATTTTTCCAAGGTCAGTGGGGGTCTTTAACTTGAAAATGATAAATTTTCTTTAAAAATGGTAATTATTTTGAAAAATAATGACAAAATTGAAATAAAAATTGAAAATTTTAAAATTAAAATGGAATGTGACAAGGAATCTTAGGTTGTTGAAATTAATCCCTAAAATAATGATTTCCAATTTTCAAAAACGTATAATGAAAATGTAGAAAGTTGGGGGTAAAATTGTAAAAGTAAAATTTTACACTTTAGCCCAAAATTGTTCCAAAACATTAAACCAATCTTAAAGCTTTAATTCTAAGGGGTTAACATCATGGTTATCCTTTTAACCATCAAATTTTCTTTAGTAACCCTAGGTAAACCCAAGCGAAGCTTAACCATGAAAGTTTCATTCCTAATTAAGCATCTTAAGTTTATGTAAGAATATATTACTAAGTAAAATTTTGTTATCTAAATCTAGTTGTCTTAATAATGATATGTATACTTGTGCAATATCCCATATTTAAAATTATAACTGCATTCTTATTTGCTTAATAGTGAAAGATTTACCTAGATTTTGCTTGACACCAAGTTTTCGGCACTGTTGTTTTTGGCACTGTTGCAAATTAAAAATATCTATTATTGAAATTAATCACAGAAATTGCATTTTACATCTATCTATATTAAAAATTGGTATCAAGTTTTTTGCACCGTTGCCAGGGAGAGATGGAAAAATATAATTGTAATTTGCAAAAATATTTTCAAAAGAAGTTTTTAGAAAACAAAATTTTAGTAAGTCTTATTTAATCTTTAAATTTTATTTTAGAAATATTGTTGTGTCATTTTTGTATAAAATTCTTGTTTGTGCGTTTTTATTTTTTGTTTTATTTTATGTTATTTTATGTTTTTAATAGTAATGTATGCGTAGTTCAGGTTCTGCAGGACTTGTGCCTTACGATTGTGAATTAGAAAGAACTATTAGAAAAATTAAAAAATTAAAAAATTAAAAATTACTAAAAAATTTCATGAAATGGCAAATTAAAATAATCAAAATGTTGAAGAGTTTAGACCTTTAAGAGATTATGTGAACCATACGGTGGATGAACTTCATTGTAGTATTCAAAAACCCATTATAGTGGCTATTTCATTTGAGCTTAAATCTGCTATTATCCAAATGGTATCAAGTAATCAGTTTGGGGGAGCACCAACTGAAGATCCAAATTTACATCTTGCCAATTTTCTAGAATGTGTGCTACATTTAAATATGATGGTGTATCAGATGATGCTATAAGACATAGATTATTTCCTTTCTCACTG